GCTGCGCCCGACGGTGCCCGAAGATGCTGAGCGGCGTCTGGGTCCTCAGCGTGTTAACCGTGGCCGGGATCTTACAGACCGAGAGTCGCAAAACTGCCAAAGACATTTGCAAGATCCGCTGCCTGTGCGAGGAGAAGGAGAACGTCCTGAATATTAACTGTGAAAACAAAGGATTTACAACCGTCAGCCTGCTCCAGCCCCCCCAGTACCGGATCTACCAGCTCTTCCTCAATGGGAACCTCCTGACCAGGCTGTACCCCAACGAGTTCGTCAACTACTCCAACGCCGTCACGCTCCACCTGGGCAACAACGGGCTGCAGGAGATCCGGCCCGGGGCTTTCAGCGGCCTGCGGACCCTCAAGAGGCTGCACCTCAACAACAACAAGCTGGAGGTGCTGCGCGAGGACACCTTCCTGGGCCTGGAGAGCCTCGAGTACCTGCAGGCTGACTACAACTACATCAGTGCCATCGAGGCCGGGGCCTTCAGCAAGCTCAACAAGCTCAAAGTGCTCATCCTCAACGACAACCTCCTGCTGTCACTGCCCAGCAATGTGTTCCGCTTCGTGCTGCTGACCCACTTAGACCTGAGGGGCAACCGGCTCAAGGGCATGCCCTTCGCGGGGGTGCTGGAGCACATCGGGGGCATCATGGAGATCCAGCTGGAGGAGAACCCGTGGAACTGCACCTGCGACCTGCTGCCCCTCAAGGCCTGGCTGGACACCATCACCGTCTTCGTGGGCGAGATCGTGTGTGAGACCCCCTTCAGGCTGCACGGCAAAGACGTGACCCAGCTGACCAGGCAGGACCTCTGTCCTCGGAGGAGCTCTGGTGACGCTGGTCAGAGGGGTGGCCATGGAGACAGCCACATCCAGAGGCTGTCCCCCACCATGAACCCTGCCCTCACCCCGACCCGGGTCCCCAAAGCCAGCCGGCCACCCAAGATGAGAAACCGGCCCACACCCCGGGTCACTGTGTCCAAGGACAGGCAGAGCTTTGGCCCCATCATGGTGTACCAGACCAAGTCCCCCATGCCCCTCACCTGTCCCAGCAGCTGTGTCTGTACCTCGCAGAGTTCAGACAATGGCCTCAACGTCAACTGCCAGGAAAGGAAGTTCACCAATATCTCCGACCTGCAGCCCAAACCCACCAGTCCAAAGAAACTCTACCTGACCGGGAACTACCTGCAGGTTGTGTACAGGAACGACCTCTCCGAGTACAGTTCCCTGGATTTGTTGCACTTGGGGAACAACAGAATCGCAGTGATCCAAGCGGGCGCCTTCGCCAACCTGACCAGCCTGCGCAGGCTGTACCTGAATGGCAATTACCTGGAGGTGCTGCACCCGGCCATGTTCCACGGCTTGCAGAGCCTGCAGTACCTCTACTTAGAGTACAATGTCATCAAGGAGATTAAGCCGCTGACCTTTGCCACCCTGATCAACCTCCAGCTTCTGTTCCTGAACAACAACCTTCTGCGTGCCCTCCCCGAGAACATCTTCGGGGGCACGGCCCTCACCAGACTCAACCTGCGCAACAACCATTTTTCTCACCTGCCTGTCAAAGGCGTCCTGGACCAGCTGCCTGCCTTTATCCAGATTGACCTGCAAGAGAACCCGTGGGACTGCACGTGTGACATCATGGGCCTCAAGGACTGGACAGAGCACGCCAACTCCCCCGTCATCATCAATGAAGTGACCTGCGAGTCACCTGCTAAGCACGCAGGCGAGATCCTCAAGTTTCTGGGGAGGGAGGCAATTTGCCCAGACAGCCCCAACTTAGCTGATGGCACCGTCCTGTCCATGAACCACAACACAGACCCACCGCGCTCTCTGAGCGCGTCTCCCAGCTCCTACCCTGAACTCCACACAGAGGTGCCACTCTCTGTCTTAATCCTGGGGTTGCTGGTGGTCTTTATCTTATCTGTCTGCTTTGGGGCCGGTTTGTTCGTTTTCGTCCTGAAACGCCGAAAGGGGGTGCCAAGTGTCCCCAGGAGTGCCAACAACTTAGACGTGAGTTCCTTCCAACTCCAGTACGGCTCCTACAACAGCGAGACACATGACAAATCCGACGGCCACGTCTACAACTACATCCCCCCACCTGTGGGTCAGATGTGCCAGAACCCCATCTACATGCAGAAGGAGGGGGACCCAGTGGCCTATTACCGCAACCTGCAAGAGTTCAGCTATGGCAACCTGGAGGAGAAGAAGGACGAGCCGGCCCCCCTCGCTTACACTATAAGTGCCACCGAGCTGCTGGACAAGCAGGCCACACCCCGAGAGCCCGAGTTGCTCTACCAGAATATTGCCGAGCGTGCCAAGGAGCTCCCCAGCACTGGCCTGGTCCACTATAACTTTTGTACCTTACCTAAAAGGCAGTTCGCCCCCTCGTATGAATCTCGACGCCAAAACCAAGACAGAATCAATAAAACCGTTTTATATGGAACTCCCAGGAAATGCTTTGTGGGGCAATCCAAGCCCGACCACCCTTTGCTGCAAGCTAAGCCGCAGTCAGAACCAGACTACCTCGAAGTTCTGGAAAAACGTACTGCAATCAGTCAGCTGTGAAGGGAAATCACTCACAACCCTCTGGCATCAAAGACGCTGCTGCCCCAGACCTTCGAAGGCAGCACAGCATTGGCTCTGTGTTTGTGTTCTCTTTCCCAGCTTTAGGGGGGACTGTGGAGATGGAGGAAGCAGTGATCATGTCACTGCACGTTTTCCTTTAAATTATTTCTCTTTTCCATTCTTCCTTTCCCTCCCCAGTATTTTTTTTTCCATCTTGTCCTTTTTAGGATCCATCATTAAATAGGAATGTTTCTACAGTGCATTCTTTTCACATATTTGTTTATGATTTTTCTTTTTCTTTTGTTTTCCAGTGTTGGAATGGAAAGAGAAGATTATAGTGAAAAAAAAAAAAAAACAAAAATGAGTAGGCAAACTTTTCAAATGAAACTAGCTATTTCATGTATTTTGGAAAAGATCTCCAAAGATCTTTTGGGACCCTGACTTCTTTTGTAAATAATGATATATGGTATTTCTGTCTGCAGTCACCAAGTATAGCCAATGGGCATCACTTCTTTGTGGTAAAGTGCCTTTGCACTTTAAGTACATTACTTAAATGTTGCTTTTAGCTTTGATAAATTGGACATATTTTAATGTGTTGTATTTTTGACATTAAAAATACTGTAAAAATAGATCGATATGTCAGCTATATTAAATCAAAGTACAGTTTGCTTGAGTTATAGAAACCAGCTTGTCATCAAATGATTCTAGTTATAGGACTTTATAGAGTTAATTGTAAAATATTTCCTTTCCTCTGGGTTTAATTGATTTTATTTAAGTCAACTAAGAGGGTTTAACAATGGACTTGAGGTCATAAACCACCTCAGTCAGAATTAATAATTCATTAATAAAATATATTTAACCCAATATCAGAGTGACTTGGACATTTAATGCCCTTCCGTAATCATTATTGTACACTAACATGATCAGTATTTTAGATTATTTTGCTAATTAAGAATACATGACACAACTTGTAATATATTTTTTCTGCATTAAATTAGATATTTTTATACATTTAAATGAAAAGGTCTGTATTTCTAACTTTTTAATTGAAATTAATATTTTTTCTGCCTATCGAGACATTTTCTATACACACGCACACCAGTAGAGGCCGCCACACACTTCATTTAATAAAGACAGAGGAGCCATTGAATACTTAAAGGAAGCCTTCAAAGGTGGGAATCAAACTTCCCCAAACAGGTTCTCTGCAAATTCGAGGCAGCAGGGACAAATGTCTACATTATGTTTTGTTTCTTTTACCACCAAAGGTTAGACCCAGCATCCTTCTCAGTTTTCATATTTTTCAGAGAAAGTATTTTCCTCTCGAATTTAGCGAAGTGTTAACAGGGTGCTAGCAAATCATGCATTCTCTGTATCTCCAAATCGGTTAATAGTTACTGAGCCCAGGAAAGCAAATGTCTTTTTCCCCTTCTGCCTTTTTCAGGAACACGCTACTTGAATTTTTACCTTGTCGGCTTGAGCAAGCCTTTCATTTTCGTGTCAGCATTAAAGGGAATTTTATTAACCAAGTCCATGTAACATTTATGGAGCCTTATTAGCCTGTAAATAATTTTTAGATGCAAACATCATTGTGTCATTTAAACAAACAGCCCTTCTTTACAACAAAAAATAGTTTTGTTTTGTCTATTGTAAATCCTTATGCAACTGGGATGGTGATCTGAATATAAAGTAGCCCAGCTTTTCAGTTCCTTATTAAAGCAATTGATGGCGTCTGAAAGCAGCACACTGTCTCCTTTTCATAACTAGGTTACTGCACATAATCATCCTTTAGTATCATGTGGAGATTGAAGTGGCTCCTGATAACTTACTTTTCAAGCTTTAAAATGACCAGCACTATATTGTCTGTCACTCTGAGCAATTCATGTGACGGGCTTTCAATTAGAGATTCCTTAAATCCAAATTATTTGGATTATTAATTATGGATGCAAAATAGCCTTTTCTTTTAAAAATAGAAGGTAATTATGTGCATCCAAATTTACAGGATACTTAGGGGGACATGCCCTGAGCAACCTAAAATTGCTCGATGTCTAAGTGGCAAGCTAGCATGTTCATTCTTTGAGGAGAGATCAGAATTCCTATTCAGATGTATTAGCTCAAAGTGGAAAATGGCAGGTTGAAATTATCTACACGAAAGGTAACTTACAGAGTCTGCGACTAAACTTGGAGATAGCATCTGGAAACCACCTCCTCTTTAAGTGAAGTAATTTGTATATGTATATTTTTCTGAAATGCTGTGGTGGCTGCAGTCATTTGGGACAGTGAGAAATACAAGCGGTAGGGATTTTTGGAAAGTGGCAGAATAGCATCTCTATCATTGATTGTTAGACTTAAACTTCACCATAACGTAGATAGATTTCACTTCAGTGTGTGTTCTTATTTTCCTGAAAGTTGCGTAGTAAAATATTCCCATCCACAGCAAAATTAATCCATTAATCTTAAAGAGAGATAGCGGAATGTTCGCTTAGTGCTGTATTTTTTTAGAGGCCTCCTGGAAAAATGCAAAATTCTTAAGTTCTTAGTTAATACTGTGGCTTAATTATAGACCCTTACTCAACTTAGCTTGTCCTTTGTTGTCATTAAGTTTGAAGATGGAATTATTTGAATGTAGCCCCAGCCTGTTGCACTGCCAACCTTAATGCAACATCTGCTCGGGAGCTTTCCTCTCTAACGCACGCACAAGCATGTTAGTAACTTACTATCATCTCCATTGACTCTTGTTTTGCTTGAGTCTTTCAAGTGCTTTGAACCCTATTTTCTTTGGGGGTTGTCAGTTTTTCTCCCTCACTTTCCCGTCACCTGCAGCAACAGAGAAAATGGCCACAGCTCACGGAATGTGTTCTCCCTGCACCTGCCTGGGACCCATCTTTAGGTCTGACGCCACAAATGGTGGTTCTTTTTGATTCCAAGTCTTAATTAGTCGCTGTCACTGTTACTGGATATCCCTGCGGCTAAATGAACCATTTCTCTGTCTGGTCACAGTTGCCAAGAGCATAATTTGGTTCTGGGTTTTGGTCAACCTGTGCACCTTGTTAGTCCCCTCCAGCAGATTGCTCTGCTCTGCCCTCTGCCCTCTAAGATGACAATTTTTCTAAATGTGTGTGTGTCACCTAGGGCTCAGTGTCTTAGGGAGTTTACACAGTGTGTGTTGAGGAATGACACAGAGCTGCTGAGATTTTTGTTCAGGCTCTGGAAATTCACTTCAATTGTACACATTCCAGAAACATACTGAACTGGGTGCTAGAGTGAAGAAGGGCTTCCAGACAGCTCTCCCGCTCCGTTCTCTCCTCCATGCAGCCATTCATTCAGTAACTATCCACTGAGAGCTACAGGCTCTGGGCTGCGTGCACAGGGGGACACAGAGGTAATGGTAGGCAGGATCCCTGCCCTCACCCCAAGGAGCTTAGCGCCAGTAAGGGAATGACGACCACCCAGTGCCAGCACGTGGGGCAGTAATACAAAAGATGGGGTTTTCAAAGGTGATTCTGTGCAATCAAGTATACCGCTGATTGATTTCCAGTAGACTAGCTACTGTGTACTCTCCATTAACAGCTCTTCAAAGTTACAGATTAAAAAGAAACCCACAAAAATAATCAAACCCCCCCAAATTCCTGCAGAATGAGGTCTATTATCATGGCCTTAAGGGAGCTGTATACTCTTGAAAGATCGACATTGTAAAGATGAGTGCTGAGACTGTAAAAACAAAAACACAGACGTACTTCGAGAGGCGGTTTATAACTCAGTGGCTTCAAAGAGAATATTTTGGTTGGTTCAGGTGTCTTTTGCCAAACAAATGATGAGACACCACAGTCCTGATAGAGGACCTAGATTCTATATATAGATATACTTTGCTTCCTGCAGTGGTTGTGCAAAAAGCCACATGTAAATTGAAGTTTTGTAAATCCAATTCTTTTTTCAATGCATTAGGGAACTACAACTTAGAGGAAACTTGTCAATCCTTTCACGAGGCAGAAAACCACTTGACGATGCCAGTCATCTCGCTCTCATTTATCTGGGTTGGTTTTTATATGTTTGGGTTTGCTACAGTGGCTTTCCTTAAAGTAGAGCCCACCTGCATAATAAGAGCGTGCTTTTGCCAATGCTGTTTGTGCTACCAGTTGCTTGGTTGCTAAGGGCTTATACTTGAGAGTCTGCTGCAGTTGTGTGTGAACTAAGCCTCCCAGCGCGTCTCTGATGGCGCAGGAGCTCTCCTGAGCCATGGGGGCGAGGCGACCCATTTCAGCTCCATTGACCCCACACTCTTCTCGTGCAGCAGTGTCTCCTCTCTCACATGTGCCCACATTTCAGTAGAGTGTAGAGTGACTGCTGTATTCACCTTCTCAAAAGTACTTAGACTCACAAGTTTTATAATATATGTGATTATGTAAACATATTGAAACTGCATGTGTGTTGGGATTTTTTTAAGCAGTATTTTAGCCTGAAAAAGTACTTGTACAAAAACTGTTAGATTTAGTTGCAAATAATTGTTCTCAAGTTATTGGAATAAATGGCAAATGAAACAAGCTCTTGTGTAAATAGACTTCTGTGCCAAATAGTGACATTGGGGTTTGGTTTTTTTAAATTTTTTTTTAATGTCATATTTTGAACTGTTAAATAGGCAAACTGAAATACTGGAAACGTGATCCAATGATGTACTTTACTGCATAAGCTGTAAAACAATGTAGTTATTTTATGCTTCAGTTAGCTTACCGTTAATAAATAAATGTTCACCAAAATGCAACATGTGAATTAGTTAGAAGGAAATTCTTTCATGAGAATGAATGGCAAAGCATTACTTGAATCAGCCTCTTTTCCTTGATCATGTCTGTTCAGGTACTTACAAACCGAGATGAGAACAGTTTGTGAGTTATATGACTAGAACTAACATTTTTAGGGTAATAGTTTTAAAATATAAATATATATATTCTTGCATTTCTATGAAAGTCCATTAATATCAGACTTAAAAGTAAACAACAACTAAAACT